GATTCAAACATAGACGTGCATTCTGATAACACATATAACTATGCGTTCAGATACACACATGGACGTTCATTCCGATACACATCGACGTCCAATCCGACATCATATAGACGTACTTTTCAGATACACATAAGACGTGCATTCAGATACATGCATAGACAAGCATTCAGATACATATACAGACGTGCATTCAGATGTGCACATAGACATGCTTTCCGATACATAAACGTGCATTCCGATATACATATAAACGTTCATTCAAATACACGTATAGACGTGCATTCAGATGCACACATAAATGTTCATTCAGATATACATATAGACCTCTCCAGTGGCCTAGTGGTTAGAGCGTCTGCTTTGGATGTGTGAGGTCATGGGTTGGATCCCTAGCCGAGTCATACCAAAGACTTTAAGAAATGATAATAACAGCTGCCTCGCTAGCCACTCAGGATTAAGAGGTTAGTGTTAGGACTGGTCGGCCTGGTGTTAGAATAATGAGACTGGCTGGGACATCATGCTACATGTATACGGTATGATGTCCCTGTGCTAGACATCACTATAAACTGCCACACTGCAGGCATCGGAGCGATATGACTGAAAATTGTTAAAGTTACGTTAAAAATCCAAATCACATCACATGAGATACACATTTGGACATGCATTCAAATGCAAACATAGACTGCGCTGATATACATACAATTGACTTGCATTCGGATTTTTTTGTCATAGGATGGAATTATCCAAGTATTGTTGTTTTGCTTTTTTCATTTTTTGTTATTTTGTTTTCATGAATCTTTAATGTCGCCTCACGCATGGTATATCAATGCTATCTCAGTAGGTTTCTATAACGCAGACTATTCAATGCCAAGTGACCCAGTGGTCGAAGGCGCTCACCGTTATGGATCACTGCCATCTCATCTGTCAGCGTGGATTCGAGTCTCCGATTCAACCAATGTGGGTATGTGAGAAAGCTTGCCAGTAGCTTCTTGTGGGTCGTTGGTTCTTTCCGGGGTTTTTCCAGGTTCTTCCTCCGCCATCCTCCACATTGCATAGCCTATCTTGTGCTAAAAATGGCGATAAACCCTATAACAACAGTAACAGCAACACAACAAAGAAAGTCACATTATTGTATCAGTTTGCACCAGGACAGAACGATTTACAAAGTGGCCATGACCAGGTTGAATACTTGGGATGGGTACATAATTGGTAAAGATTATTATTTGGTCGTTGATATTTGGTAGATTTCTACGGGTAATCTACTAATGTTTTGTTTTGTATTTTGTGTTTACCTTTTCCTTTTCTTTAATTGTTGCTCTTTTTGCTCGAAAGCAAGCAATGAATTAAATAGAAGTATATTACAGGCATCCATTTTACACAATATAATTTTATATTTGCAGGCATAGCAGAAAACACTGCAATGACGTTATATTTGAAGGATATAGGTTATACAAGGACAAACGCTGAAAACAAATCAATAATTCGGTCACATTGAATAGAAAGGGGTGGGGCTTGGCGTGGGTTATCAAAACAAAAAAGTCCGTACAAAACCAAACCAAACCGATATCAATACGTACATGATGTAATAGCAAATACAAATTATGCAAGTATTGGCATTCTTCCTGGCATCATACCAAATAATTATATTAAAGATCACTATACAAAAAAAACTTCGATAGAATGCCTGTTATGATCTTAAGACAATTACAATAAAATAGGTATCCTTAAATGTATTTTGTATAGGAAACCTGACTAATCGATTGATCGTTGAGAGCAATTGCTGGTGATTATCCCCACAAAACCTTTAAGCACCAACGCTCTTTTATAAATGCGGTGCAAGTGCATTTGCAGACGTTCAGCAATAAAGGAATGCATAGTGCACACGAAATCAGACACGTTTCCAGTAAACAAAGAGAGCAAAATTATTGAAAATAGTGTCCACCAAGGCATTGACAGCAATGGGCCAGACTGACGTATAAACAGTATAAATATTTGGATGGTAAGGTAGATACCTACCGTGAGCGTAATCCGTTTGCCTACACCTAAAACAAATACAATGTAATACCGACGCTGTCTAAAGTTTTTCTATGAATATTGTCAGTCACTGTTGGGAATCAAAGATTCCGTTGCACATCTTCACAATCTCTGGAGGAGTTTGAAAAACTTGTTGCATAATTTTACTTTATAATTTACTTATTAGAAGGCGCTCACCAGTTATGTACTTTTGAGAGAGTGATGTATGTAAGGTGAACTTGTTTGTATTTTAGACATGCATCGTGGAGAAAATGTTGGCATACCTATATACTACTTTCATGTAATGTGGCTAAAATTTCTTTGGATATTTTACTCTTGGGAATTTTTAATGATCTTATGACATTGCTAACTAAAATGACTGCCCCCTTGTGCTCAAAAAATCAACCTGAATTTGTCTAAAGTAAACTATTCTTGGCAGCTATTAAAATATGGAAAATGAATTTTGCCAAACTAGACAATACAGCTTGCAATGAATGAATTACTAAATACATAAAATGTAAAAAAAAAGTTATTGGCTCTAATTTTTACAATTTACCTCTGAAGTTCGAGAAGTGAAAATAAGCAAGTAGAGCTAGCACTTTTTTGAAAGGTGCACATCTGGAGTAAGGCCAAGCTGTATACTCTCTAACGCATATTACACCCATCAATCATACATCAAAATAAAGGGAATTAAAGTTTCTTTGAACAATACTTAAGATATACAAAGTCTCTTTTAAATAGCCAGTATAACTAATGAGGAAACCCGGGGAAACTCTTTTTCTTTAAAATTCTAACCCTATGCTAAATACGAAACTGTAGAGCGCCACCTTAATCTCAGCATTCCAGCACATAAATGGACCTTACTTTATGATGGAAGAGGACGGTCTGATAAAGGATTTATCATCATTCTTGTAAGCCCCTACCTCACCCCCACCCAACCAAAGCTTTTAAATATCTTGAATTGCAGATATGGAGATACTTCTTTTACAAGTACTACTGTTATAAATACCCATCCCATGTATACCATACTATTATTTGATGACAAATATATTTTAGTAGAACCACTATCATTAGTGGTATTTGGGCCAACGCATTTGTACCATCTAGTAAACTGTATATCATGAAATTATAAACTCTTTTTCGTGAACAGGTTGGAATACTCTGTTAATTTTAACGTACGAAGGAATTGTTATATTACCCAAACAGTTAAGCGTTCGATTGGCACTGTTGTGTACTTGGGTGCGAGTTTCCATTCCACCACAAGTAATGGTTCATATTCAACCATTTAATAACAGTGGTTTCCTATGAGTTCTCCAGTTTCCTTTATCTTGAACAACCCACCACGACCAAGGTTAAATCCTTGAGAGCGTATTTTAAATTTGTCGTGCTACGAACGTAAAATAAATGAATTTTGATCTTTAAAATAGTTATTAAAAGGAACTAAAGAATGAAAGTAACCCTGCTCTTCATAACATCAATTACTGAAGGAAATTACATTACAAAACAGAACAAAACAAGGCGCGTTTAAAAGGAATGAAAACAAATTACACTCACAGTAACCTCCATTACGTTTATTTTACATCTTTACAGATACTTTATAGACAATGGCGATATACATTACCACACACGATTATTATCAACACACATTTATAAATGTTAGATTGAGCATGTCTCTTCTTAACACAGATCCTGATGTTAACGATTTCAACACATTTAATGTCAGAGTTGTGTGATTTTTAAGCATATTAGCTCTGAATGTATAAAAATAAGTTAAGTTTGGTGGGTATTAAGTTTCGTAATTGGAGGGGGGGTATCTTTCAGCTTTTATATAAATCCGAATTAAAGTCCCATTCTAACAAGTTTTGATACATGATCATTTATTTTTCTTTTGATCCAGGACAACATGAACTTTGATCTATATTTTCAATATTTGCAAATATGTTCTTACCTTGACTTGACCATTTATAATTTTATATGTACTGAATAAATAACCTCCGCATGAAACAGAATAATCAGAAACACACCTTCCCAGTTTTAGAATCTGATTGGACAATTAGGGGTTTGGAGGGAGGAGCTCACCTTCTCGCTTGAGATCGTACGGTTGTTGAACAACGTGGTACCTCTAGTGTTCGCATATGTATAGTTTTCCCCTGGGAAACATTTGGTAAGTAACTTTTGTAATTACTGTTTTTGATACAACTGAGAAACGAGCGAGGATTACTATTTATTCATACTTAATGTTGCTGTGGATGTGAGTGTGCTTGCAGCGGTGACTCATTTTCCGTCATTCATACAGCTCTGAACTTCACATGACCCGTAAATTAAACAACATATGTTTGAAATAACTACAGTACCGCGTCTCTGATTAACAAAATCGTTAAATTATCCTATCCTTATAGATAAGAATGTGATTATTATTAACAAATATATTTTGTGAGCATACAGTTTAGACAACCTTACTAGTTTTGGTATAGAAACGCTCATCCTTACTTGTACGCTAACCGCCAAGTGAAGCAACACCGTGTATCTTGTAACTTGCAGAAGGAAATGCACTTCATGTTGCAATTAATCAATCGTGATACAGACATACCAATGTATGTATATAGGTTAGCTGTCCAACCAGTGCAAACCGGTTTTAAATGAATACATATTGAACAGATGTAATTATTACAAATACTCATAAGTGATATTTCAATATTTCACTTGTTAAAATCATTGATTACTCTTCTTATTAATTCTCCCATTTCCTGCAAGTGTGTGATATTTAGATTTTTTACGTAACTTTAACAATTTTTCAGTCATACCGCTACGATGTCTGCAGTGTGGCAGTTCATACTGATGCATAGCACTGGGGCATCTAACTGCAAACATGTAGCATGATGTCCTAGCCAATCATATTATCTTGACACAGGCCGACCAGTCCTAACACTAACCTCATAATGCTGAGCGCCTAGCGAAGCAGCTGTTAGTACCACTTTTGTAAGTCTTTGGTATGACTAGGCCTGGGTTCGAACCCGCGACCTCCCGCATCCGAGGCTGATGCTCTAACCACTAGGCCACCGGAGCAGTTATTTTCTGCACTTGTTATCAAAGATGTTTAGCAGCCCAGGGATAATAAATATGTAATTCAAAGTCTCTGGCAACAAACCGTTTGTATTAAGCTCAATATTCAAATGCTATAAAAAGTAAGGCATTACAATTTTAAAAAATAACAAGCCTGTTCAAAGAGGTCAACCAGCAGAATTTTGAGTTTTGTGTGCTGTTTTATTTCGGTCGAAATGTAAACTCATATAAATAAATTTAAAAAAAACCAACAAACAACCCTAACATTATGAACATGTACTCAGATCAGACACTAAATATAAATAGAGAGCATTATGGGAGTGCAATGCATCGTCACGCACTACGGACTATGAAAGGTGATGAAATACATGTTGCTCAGTGGGAGATGCATTCATTTGACGAGGTTAATCAACTATACATAGTCCTTGGGATCTGCATATTTGCTATTTCATAGCTAAATTTTTACATGTAAACCGTTCGATAATAGAAGTAAAAACGCAAACGATTACGATTTTGTGACACTGTGTATTTACACATTCCCGCATATTTGTAAGTGAAAAACAAACAAACAAACTCCTACGTCACGCTTGTCCCGGAAAATAAACTTGTTACCTCGCGCTCAGTGTCAATGAGTGCGTGCGTTTTAATATTTGCTGGTGGAATGCTAACTTTGGGATGTAACTTGTTTGTACATTTCACAAGTATTTTTTTTTTCTTCAAGGAATGACACGTTAAGGGGAGGGGGGGCTAAGCAAGGAACTGACATAGATATGGCTTAGGGAGAAGTATATATACTTGAAACGACATGATATGTACGTGGTTATAATATAATGTTCGCTGCATAGTCATGATTCTAAATGAAAATGTTTGAAAGTACACACTTTTACGGATCATTGGCTGGAGTAGATCGAGTTACAGGATGGCGACACGGTTCGCTAGTTTGAAATGATCTCACAATCAGCTGACGTGAAAACTGGGTCTATACCGTTCATGCAGTCATTATATTTTATAATCCCCTTCTTCAATATTAACCTACTTTCGCATTTAATGTTTTTGTGGTTATTTCTTTCTTTTTTTGAGGTGGGGTGGGTGGCTTTGGAAGATGAGCTTTAAGTTATAATTACTTGAATTTTTCCGTCGTAATTGTTTTGTTTTGTTAATACCGGTAAAGACCGCATCGAATGAGGTCGTCTTCGTAATGGTCACAGCAAACAATAACTACCCACTTTACAACAGACCGCCTATACCCGAACACACGTCGCAAAATTTGGAAAATGTGTGTTTTCCAGTTACGCTTGTTCCGATATTCTAACGAAGCACGGTAGATTATTTGCTTCTGTTGTGCTCTCGTCCTTAAATTTCTCAACACTTCAGTAAAAGATCAAGGCAAAGACACTGTAGTGTGGCAGATAAATTTTTATGTGTTACATATTCGACATAGATGCATAATCTATATATGCATGAGAAAGATTTCTTAGAGATTATCTTCCAATGACAAAGGTTTTCGAGAATTTGACAAATTAATTTACGGTTTAATGGTCATATAATCGTCACGTAATCAATCTAATTTTGCTCAAGCACTTTTAGAGATAAAATTATGCATAGTGACATTTAATATAAATTTAATATAAAGTAAATATTATGAATGGATGCAAATTAATAAATTTCTGTAAAATTTAAAAAGTAATCGTTACAACTTAAAATTTTTATATTTAAGACTTAGTTTTTCGCATGGAGGTAGTTCTCCATTACTGCCATTGATATTTGATTTGTCACTAGCATATTCATGCCCTTCACTAGCAATTACGGGCTAGGACTAGAATGGTATCTTTACTGATTATTGACGCCGTGCCAAAAATCTTGCGTCTACCAATTATTGAACTGGCTGGCCGTATGCGTAGGTATATAGGTATATATAGAATATGTCCATGCGGCGGCTCATATAGAGAAAACATTGTTGATTCAACAGGAATTCAAAAATATATCCATACATTATCCCTTCAAACGCTTTAGTAGCATTATCATTAATGCTCTTTAGGTAATTACATTATAATTTCAAACTATCTGTGTAACTTTGTAAAATTTTAAACAACTTTAATGTTCCTGAATTTGGAAGTATCTACCTACAAAAAGAGCATACACGAAGACGTGAAACAACTTGAAGAATAAAGTATAGATATATTAATGATTTCCGATTCAGCAAAAAGTCTCTCTCTCTCTCTCTCTCTCTCTCTCTCTCTCTCTCTCTCTCTCTCTCTCTCTCTCTCTCTCTCTCTCTCTCTCTCTCTCACATGCATGCATGCATGCATGCATGCATGCATACATACATGCATGCATGCATGCATGCATGCATGCATGCATGCATGCATGCATGCATACATACATACATACATACATACATACATACATACATACATACATACATACATACATACATACATACATACATACATACATACATACATACATACATACATACATACATATAGACTTTGCAAAAGTCCCTCCTGTGGGTGCTAGGTTTGCTTCATGCATTTAAAGTGAAGATCCACTTTTGTTGTAAACGAAAATCGTCTACAACAAGTTCTTGACTGGTTAATAGTGTAGTGTACAACAAGTTCATGACTGGTTAATAGTGTAGTGTACAACAAGTTCTTGACTGGTTAATAGTGTAGTGTACAACAAGTTCTTGACTGGTTAATAGTGTAGAGTACAACAAGTTCTTGACTGGTTAATAGTGTAGTGTACAAGTTCTTGACTGGTTAATAGTGTAGTGTACAAGTTCTTGACTGGTTAATAGTGTAGTGTACAACAAGTTCTTGACTGGTTAATAGTGTCCAAAATTTTGCTCTGATGAATCAGGGTTTTCCCCACGCAAATCCTTGAACAGTAATATCCCTAACACTTATGTATATCCTTAGTACTTACCTTGTATGGACGCTATTCAAAGCCGGTCAACAATCCGATGTAAGTAAATGTTACGTTTAGATACGCTTAATGGTCAATTAAAGTATTATTCAGTTTGACATAATCACTATACGACGTGTGATCAGGAGATAAAGGTCATGGTTGTGTGATGGGATAAAGGTCATGGTTGTGTGATGATATGGACTCAACATACAATTACTGCCTTCTTCTAGATGATAGTGTATCCCCCTCAGGGGTGTACAACTGAGGTTTAAAATACCCTTGGTGTCAGAACTGGGGGTAAAAAAATGTACTGACAAATTTTCATCTGATCCATACTGTTTCAAATGAAATAGGATATTGCAACTTCTCTCTCTCTCTCTCTCTCTCTCTCTCTCTCTCTCTCTCTCTCTCTCTCTCTCTCTCTCTCTCTCTCTCTCTCTCTCTCTCTCTCTCTCTCTCTCTCTCTCTCTCTCTCTCTCTCTCTCAAATACAAATAAACCAACACGTAAAATTTACACACAAATGCACTGTCAATTTTAATTCATTTTCCATTCAAAGTTAAAGTAGTACTTTTAACAGTATCTTTGTAATCTTTGTGTAGCAATATTATAGACACATATAAGCCAATACAAAAATCCAAATCTTTTTAACCAAATGATAGTTAATTTACTGCCTGTCATAAAATTTGTACTATCATCGGTTTCGTTGTACTTCCTTCCTAAAACACATTAATCCAAGACTCAAAGAGGCTAATGATTAATTTACTCTTTAATAAGTTACACTTGGACTTTTATATTATTTCTTTGCAACAAAATTAACAAATTCTGTAATGAACCCCTACATTTGTAATCCAAATAACGGATTTGTCTCTGCAAGTTTACTTATTTCATTGTTCTGAAAGAATGTCTTAGGTAATTAAGTGATCAAAATATATCTTTCCGTGATCAAGGGCAGATTTTTTTAAATTCTTAAAGGATTATTCACTTGTGCAGTCTCCGCAATCACGAGGTCAGAAATCACACCTGTAATTTAATGGATGTGCCGTATCCAAGCCCTCGGAATTATTTTCTCCATTTTTTGTTAATGTCATATCTACAGTTACTCTTTCGTGTTCCGTTTTTTTTTTTTACTTTCTTTGCTAACGATTTTTAGTGCAAGCCTTTTAAATCTGAAGATCACATTTTAGTGCAAACAAGCATTGAGGTTAAACATCTGGACGACATCTTGCTGAGCTCGATGAAATCGTGTGAGAGCTCGCGAGATTAGGAGAAGCTACTGTCAAAATATTGTCTTTGCTGTTGCGTATGCTCCGTATAGCAACGCAGGAAGCATACGAAGCAGGAAACCAGACTATGCTTATGCTCAATGTATACACGATGCCACCCCTAGTCCAACGCATTGGATATTTAAAAAAATCCTGACTGCATTTTGCAAATCTTTTGCGTCGAAAAAACGTACGGCAAAAATTGCGTCAGTTTTCTGTAGTGTGAGTCCCTAACGCACAAATGTGCATAAAGGGAAACACACACACACACGAGCTTATATAACAAACGATTCAGTGCCATCATTTATTGGTGATGCGTGCTTAGTCGTGACGGTATATGGATTGGTGCGTGCAGGCAAGGCGATGGGTGCCATTTACTCTCGGACCTGGGTTCGAAACGCGGTAGAGAACGAATTTAATTTCTCTAACCTGTATGATAGTATTGTTTGTATTAAACTATATATATCGACAAGTTTTATTCATGCAAATGAAGCTGAAAATGTCTCAAGATTATGTTCAAAATGCTTAATAAATATTAGCTTTATTTTCAGACTGCTTCTTATACTAGCTAATCCATGACTGACTGACCCCCCGCACAAATACCCACACCTCCCCTCCCTCCCCCCCCCAAAAAAAAAACACTCCGCGGGAACCCTTGCTCTTGTACAATGGACTTCTGAAAATCATCACTCTGACTGGATACAATCGCGTAGTGTATTCAGAAATTGTCAATCGCAAATGTTCACTGTTCATTTGAAACTTGTCTCTGGGTGATTCTGTCTAAATTCTGAATCAACGGCAGATTGTCTCCCCTTGTGAACTGCATCATTATC